ATTGAATTCAAATACGAAAATTTCAATACTTTCTAGTGTTAACTTTATAAAATTAACCACCAATTGACAATTACAAATTTTATTGGATATAACAAAGAATGAACTGAATAGAACATAATCGTATATCTTTTTCTTTCTTCTTTTTTCGAAACTTTTCACATGCATATCTGAAAAGCACATATATATTGTTTTTATTCAGTGGAATGTACTAAATTGGTTCAATAAATCTGACGAAAAGTAATCTGATATTACAAGTTAATAAATACTGAAATTCACAAAGTGTTACTATTAAAACTTATATCACTAATATGATCTTATCATTCATTTTAATGGTGGTTAATCAATAAATTCGTACTATTTTACCCATACTTGTGAGAGAGAGAGAAAAAAAACTATCTTTATCACTATCACATCAGATGAATCGATATAATAAATATTACTGATACATACTGTTATAGAGTTTTAGAATTAAAGAGAATTGTTCGCTTCACAATACTTGATATTTTGTAGTGAAACATTTAATTTTAATAATTTTTTCTATGGGGTAGTTTACTTAAGTTAGGCCAATTAAGTATGTATGTTCATTTGCTAAGCCACTGCTTAGTAATTAAAATAGTTTTAACTATCTTGTTGTAAACTTAATCTTTGTGTCACCGTTTTGAGTTTTGAAATCCGGATGATATCACTAGTCTTCCACAAAAACAATTATATTTTTTTCTTTCCTTCTGGACCTTTTTTGTTAACAGTTTACGAACAAAATATAAGTCTATGATTATTGTTCACCGATTTATTGCATGGAGTCAATTCATATGTTGGTGGTAACTATTCGAACATGAAGATTAATATTTAATCACTATGATGAAATTTTCTCATATTCATTAAAAAGTTATTGGCTTCTATCAACTTAGTTTTCCAAAACTTAAAAAAAAGTACTTATTGATTAAAGTCCTACTTTTACTCTAGTTATATGGTGATTTTCTTAAAATGTTAACATGGTACTACATATATCTTACTTATTTAAATACAACTTGACCTGATTATTTCTTTGCGTAATTGTCAGTCATACAAACTGATAATCATTTAAGTTTTCTATCTTTAACTCATTACTAGCCACTTGTAGTTATTTCTATTCTTTACTCTATATAAGTAATAAATTTTAAAATGATACGTAATATTTAATCAGTTATTCAAGCGTGTAATTAAAACTGTAGTAGTAGAAAACGTTTACAAACATTGATATTTCGATGACGTTAGGTTGAATTAGAAAATTTTTATTGGTGAAATAATTATATTTTATTGAACGATTTGGTATAACTGACTCAACTGATCAATAGTAGGAAATCGAAATCATTGAATTCTGACTGATTACTTGAGTTGTATCATGGTGATCATGATACCAGGAGGTTCGTGTTTTTTGTTCGTGTTGAAATTTTGAGTGCTCACTGTTAAAAAGTTAATGTAATTTAAGGACTAGAATATATTCAGGTTAATCTTTTTCATAAGGTAATAAATTAATAATTGATGTTAGTGAAGAATCATCATTTCAGCATAAAAAGGATCTATCTAAAAGTATTGCATCTATGATCTGTGATAGGAAAGTGATTGCTTACTTTTTACTGTTAAGTTATTTAGATAACGAATTTGTGAGAAGAAATAAAGAAGTTTCATATCAATTTTAAATTCATTACGTATTTGATATAGTCTTATGTTATTGATGCTTTGTAATTCTGCATTATAGATAAATGGAGAGAGAGAGAAAAAATAGCTTTGATAGAGATATGCACTTACTAATCACATATCCCCTGACCCTTTCATAATTTAAATAAAGCAAGAATAACAAGATTATCGAAAAAAATCACGATCTCATTATATTTCATAGTTTTATATCGGCTGTAAATGGCCGACTTATATTACTAGTTACATCATTTATATTACTAGAATCAAAGTTTTACACAACTTAGCCAATGACGTTTAGTTAGAAAGTCACAGTGGAAAACATAAGTAACAACATATTTAACATAACAGTCAAGTTTTATTAAGATAACAGTGGAATTATTTTTCTATGTCAAAGATAAAGCGATTGAGTTAATACCAAACCTTATAACAACATAATAATTTTACCATGGTAACGAGAGGTTAACCACACTTCCACTTTATATCCAAAGGTCAAGCCGTAATTCCACTGACATTGACTCATGACGTTAAATTACAATGTTATTCTTATAATAACTGGGTGATTTAACTAACACTCATTTGTTACAAACTTTTCTTATTATTATTTGTGATATCACCCACTTCTTTACACAACTTCATGTACAACTATTAATCAGTTTTAATGATTATGTTAAATATGTTGTTACTTATGTTTTTCTCTATGACATTTCTAACTAAACGTTATTGATTAAGGTGCGTAAATTGTATTTCTAGTATTATAACTAATGTAATCAATAGTATAACTAGCTCATTTACAGCTGATATGAAACTTTGAAAGTTACTAATCACTTTAAAATTCCATTATAATGTGAGTGAATGTTAAATCGGTTAAAGTGGGAATGAATTGAAGATCAATAATTCTGGGCATCATTGATATTCATTTTACTATTTACGATGTATATAACACAGAATTTATGTTTGAACTCATGAGTTACCAAACATTTCACCTTTCAAAGGTTACTTATCCTTATTTCTTTCAGGTCACTTCCTTGAGATTCAATCTGTTCGAGTTTCATGTATATCTTTGGAATGTTGGAAATTTAAACATTATTTTTTTGCAAAATAGCTTTTATTAAATAAATTATGATTATAATAAATCCATTCTACCTACCGTATTTGGTTTATGAATTCATAAGGTTGAATTAAACATATTGGTTGAATAGCAGCACCAATCAAGCCAAATTGATCATTTGAATAAATTGTTTTAAATAAAAGATTAATAATGAATGATTACGTAATTTCATTTTTCAATACATATATCATTAGTACTCGTTGTATTCGTGTAATAAATAATGCTAATTACTATATTAGGTGAACATTAAACATTTTGTCAATATAGTAAGCTTGAAACGTTTCATAAAATGAATAAACTACTGCTGTTTTTCACGTATGTTTTTAGCTGTTTGAACTAAATTTGTATTGAGAATGAAGCTCATATTTACCAATATTAGGTTTTATATGACATTCAGATTTTTACATGTTTAACAATATTACTAGCCTAATCGACTTATATGGACTGTAGTGCAGGTATACAATCAGACCATACCACGTTGACAGCACCGGTTCTCGTCCGATCACCGCAGTTAAGCAACGTTGGGCCCGGTCAGTACTTGGCCTCCAAATACCCTGGTACGGCCGAAAGTGGGAAGAGTCCTCTCTCCCTCTCCAAATCCTCTCACATAGCCACGCGTATATAGCCCCTACCAGCCAAGTCCTACTCACTGCCTTCTCGTGACGGGGGTGTTAATTACGAAAATGAGAGGACGAAAAGTGAATGTCCAGCGCTTTAACCGGATTCCAAACCAATGGTGCACATGAGCTCCAGTATCCTGAAGGAACAAATGGCGTACAAACCAATTGTTGGTCACCGGCTACCATGGGACTACATCTCCTCACGATGCTCCACTGCCTTGTGGATCAGACCTTCAGGTCGAAGGCTCGGGTAGTGGCCTCCTAAGAAAACCGCCTGTTTCGGTTTGGGCACCCGGCCAGTATCACAGCCCTCACACATATCAAATGCGATTTGTGTGGCGCATATGTATTTGGTGCCTCCTTGTACTAATATCTATGTGTTAAAATAAATAAATAATAAATAAAATATTAAAACAGTATACACTATTAAAAAGAATAATGAGTTATGTAAGCTCTTCGTTAGGGCATTAATTCAATGAATAAACAAAAACATTTACAAATCCATCGTATAGCTTTGTTTCTTTTCTAAAATAAGATTCTTATATGATTGTGGTTTTATCAAAACTATCTTTTGATTAACATGAAACAAATATAAACAGTACAACAGTTTATTATATATATATATATAAATATATAGTTGCTACATTCCAATGAGTAGAATACTTGTATTTCTGACATTTCGTGACTTAATGTAAGCCACTTCTTCACAGTAAATAAATAACTGAATTCAATTAATACAAGTTTAGATAGTACAAAGGAAACAATATAGAAACAGTTTTATCTATTGAATTCATCAACTAATTGAATTATTATCATATTGATCATGAAAAATATTACACGTAAGCAGTGGATAATACTTACTTCTCAATTATTATTATTATTTTTTGCGTTTTATAATAACCACATATTCTGTCCAGTTTGATTAGTCATCCCTTTTCAGTATATTGATATAAGTCGAAATATATGTTTACATATATACTGTCTCAATTGTTGTTTACTTTTTAATTTGTTGCTTTACCTTTGCCGAAATATTAGGTAGAATTAGATTTTTTCTTAGTATAACATCTAGTTGAATTATAGTTTTGCCAATGCTGCTCCTACTGTTGATGATGTTATTTGTATATTCTAATTTGAAGAGTCATTTATGTGTTCACTTATTAAGTATCAATCACAGCTTGATATATATATATATATATATATAGGAGTGTTGAAAATTCAGAAAAACTAGTAGATTCATTGCTTTCCTTTTTTCTTCCTCTCTTCCTGGTGCGCAATAGGTTCACGTGAATGCATCACTCTGTAAAAATTCGTTAATGTGTACGTGTGCTCGTAGAAACCTAGATAAATAAACAAATAAATATAAACACATACGTGTATTATACTCTCTTCTTCATTTGAATTGTCCTCGATTCTCTCTTTTACTACACATTCTTTACTTACAATAATAATAGTAGTAATTGTTGTTATATTAAGTTCGGTTTTTATTTCTGTTATGCAGCAATTATACGTTTCTTTTGGTTTTCCTTCATATGCTGATCGTCACTGGATTGTTCATCCGTTTATAGTATTCTTCTTTTATTTTTCTCATATTTTAGGAAAATGTTTATCGGTGGCCTCAGTCCTACTACAACATCTGGTAAGTTGAGTCTTCCTACAACTAATACCGGATATCTATTATGTATGTGTTTGTATATATTTGTGATGTAAAATTATCTAGTTCTCCTCTTCTCCATTTTCCCTTTATTTGTTAAACCAAAATTTCGTCGTGGTTTGCACTTTTTTTTACCGTTATTGTCATTGTTAAAGGAATCCTATCGACAACCAATGCTTCCTTGCTTTTCATATCTTATATTGTTTCATATGTATGTTCATATTCTCATCAGCATAATGTCGTAACAAACCAAGGTAAATAAAAAAACCTACGTACGTTTGTTGCAAAGTAATCTGTTTTTAAATATATGGATCTACACTGTAGTTTTCTTTAAACCTTAGATGTGAATCTTACATAGGCTGCAAAAAAGGGTAGGATGTAGCCAAAATATTGGTAATGAAATCAGTATTCTGATGAATTTAAGTCAATTCTGACATGAAGGATCCAATAATCGTAATAACTGGAAGCAAATATTTAGCTTGGAAAAAACAATTTTAATCTCTAGATTTCAAAATAAAGACAATTTTTAATCCATCATTCAATATGTGAATGTAAGACCACTTTTCTGTATGGATTCATAATGTGGTGTGCTACTTATATTGACATAAGTAGTATATGATGTTATCCCTGAATAGAAGGTCTGGCAGCAGAGAGACAAGAGGATCAAACAGTAAAGAATCGAAACAGAATGTAATTTGTATGAAAATACGAGAACAATCAGGTCTGAGTCATTTTGAGACATTTTGCAAATTAAGCATTTACTTTGTGATTGTTAGATTTTATTAACAAGTCCTGTAATTTGTGTTAATTACATTCGATTGTCCCCACTTGTGTTCATGTTCACTACAACAACAACTGAAAAGTGATAAATGTTGATCTGCGAATTATTCATCCCCTATGGAAGAATCACACTGATTCATCCTCAGAGTTAAGAGAACGAATATCTCGGAAATATGAACAAGAATAAAATGCTTTTATAAGTTAATAAATAAAATAATTATAGCTGTATATTTTGAAAATATACTTTTACTTTACATACAAGTAAAAATATCACACTGATAATGATAATCCATCAGCATAATCTATTGTGTAGGTTAATCTTGAACTGTTTTAGGTTAATTAGTGCAATTTTGATCTCATTGATTCAGCTTCATTCATTCTTTATCTTAGTTCAAATCTTGAGTTAAATGTCATTCATAATTCCTCTATTCTATTTGTTTCATTTGAGCCATACATTTTAAGAGTTCACTTCGATTGCCGCTAAATCTAAGTGATCCTCTTTACTTTTCATCCTATTTGTTTTATTTGTTGCCTTACGAATGTAAGATAAAACAGGTCGAACCGATACAAATTCGTCCAAGGATCTACATTTGTATTGATTGATCAACTGATTGAAAGAAGCGTTTCAAATAGCAAACTTCTACATTATTTTTCTATTGGTTTTATAAAAACTAGTAGAATAAAGAGTTTAGTCTTTTACTTATGCTAAAACCCACCACAGTAACTGAAATTGTAGTTATCTATTTGCAGTTACCTGACAAAGTATTATTTCTCTAAGAAAAATTTAAAAAATAATTGTTTTACGCGATAACCATTTTGACTTTCAGGGATACTCAGTCACGATTATTCTTACTTTTATATGGTTAATATGTTTCATGAATTTTCTCTCATGTAAGTAAAGAATATTGAACATGGTTTTATGAAACGTTCGTACAAATGTCATAATAAGCACTTAATAAGCAATCACCAGTTAATAATAATATTAGTAATAATATCTTATGTGATTTTGATAGCCGATCGATCACTTTCTATGAGGAAATGAATATTAGATTTACCAATAAATAATAGGAAACATACGATGAACTATTATGATCATTAGTATTATTGCAGAAAGTACCAAATTACTGTAAAATCTGATTAGCTATGATAAAGACGAACAAGTTGGAATGAGTAATATTGATAGACTTTTATAATAATAATAATATTTTAGGATTTTTATGGTGATTGTTAAATATTCGTAGTTTGCATCATTGACTGGTTTTAGTTAAGCTAACGCTAAAAATCAGGATGCATTAGACACCTATTTCACTCTAGTATAGGACACTTCAGTAATAAACAACCACAACATGACTAAGGGTCGAACCCATCAACTTTAGTAATAATAATCTTCATTTTTGTTTTCTTGCCTTGATATTTTTAATCCCTATTATTGTAGTTTAGTAGCAGTTACTTGGTTGTTATTATTGACTTTATTATCTTGTTTATAGTGTCATGAGATGCAAAATATTATTCATACTCAGGATTTTGCTTCTCTTAACGGGAACATATAAAGATATGGAAATTATTTAGTAGTTGAAATTGATATAAACATGTATTCATGAGATTGTAAGTTGCACCATAAATGTCCACTGGTAAGCTTCATTAAAGGTATGGTCATGAAATTAGCTTTTTCAGTCAGAGATTAGAGATTCTACCCTTTTCTGATGGTCGATCTGAACCAAAAATATGATACAGTTCCATTTTACGATGCTGAGCTGGTGTATAATCTCTGAACGTTATACAGCGGAATAATTAAAATATAAACTTATTATGTATCTGTCAACTTTAAAAAGATTTTATGCTCCCCTCTAACACTGAAGTTAAAATGATTAAAATCGTCAATTATTTAAATTTCTGCTTGGGATCGTATGCATCTTGACAGATATTTAAAAGAAACACTTGGTAACCGGTTCTACAGATGTCCACGAGGAAATATTAAGTTACATATCAGAAATATCTATAAAAATCCAAAAAGCACGTCTTTTTTGAATCACTTGGAAGTAATCCATGCTAATTTGTAATGCTGAGTAGTATTTTAACATTCGAAATTATTTCTTAATAAAAAAATTATCTTGATCCTTAATGAATTCGAGTGATCATTTAATTACTTTTAACAGCTATTTATGAACTATAACTTACCATTAAAATGTTTTACAGTTGAATTTTTCAAAATTCCATATTTACTTCTCTGCTTACTAGTGACTTCAAGAGGCATTTCCTGAAGTTCTAGTGAGAAGCCGTGACCAGTAGTGTTCAACCAGGTCTGTTGTGAGATAATAACTCACTGATGACAATGGTGTATGTGTCGCTCAATTTCATGGATTAGTTGAAGTTAGACATTAACACCATTGGATGCCGGCTGGCTCAATGGTCTAGTGGTTAGACGCTTGCGCGCGAGACCAATTGGTTCTGGGTTCGAATCCCGCGAAGCGGGATCATGGATGGGCACCGCTGAGGAGTTCAACAATAGGACGAAATGGCCATCCAATGCTTCCAAGTTTTCCATGGTGGTCTAGATTCAAATGACTTATAATTTAACTATTGAAATTACTAAAATCTCCACAAAACCCCTTCCGATAATAAAACAATAATCAATTATTTTCCCATCATTTACTGCTTAGTAAGATGACTAATATTGGAAGATAAAACTATATCTGTCTAATAATCTTTCATCTTATTTATTTTGTTTGGTAACTCTAAAACTGTCTGTTAAATGTCAAAAGTTCATCATTATCACTATCATGGTGATTTCATTGTTGTTGATGAAGATAATTTGTTTATTCAAAGACATTCAAAGATTTATTGGACATTATATACTATATATGAATATATTACTTCTAATTATACAATGAAAGAAAACATACAAGAAATCAAAAGTGGGTAGTAAAATTTATTTTAATTTTGCTAAAGACTTTTGCTGGTGTTGGCTCACTTAACTGAAAAACTTAACTCAGAAATTTTAATTGTCATTCTGTACAACATCTTCAGCATTAATTTATTTGAAGTAGGCTTTGATGATATCATTTATAATGATAACCATGAAAGCCTTACAGCTAGACTTTTAACTCAGTGACCGTAAATGCATTGATATTCTTAAACATGATTTTATTTAAATATTCATTATTTCAAATATCTCATGACACTTAATAACGTAATTCTTTGGTAGAATCTTTGTACAAAAATAAACTTTAATGATACATTTGAACACTAAGTATACTTTTAATCAACAATACACATTTTTTTAAATTATTTTACTTTGTAGAGGGTTTACGGGACTATTTTCAAAAATATGGTGAGCTTAGGGAATATATGATTATGCGTGATCCTCTTACAAAAAGATCAAGGTAAAAGTGTAAAATATATTTATATCTTGCTTATTTGAATATTTATCTTTATACTTATCATGCATTTATGATTATATTACTAATAGTGTATCTTTGCAGTCTTCAGGTTCCCAATAGATCAGTGAAAATTACAGGAATGAATATACAGTAACTATATCTCAAAACCTGTTATAGAATTATATTTTATTACGATTACAAGTCGATCTCAGTTAGATAGTCATTGAAAACCCAGCAAACTCTGACTTTTCAACCATTTCCTTATTTAGATAAATTTGAGCTATATAAAACAAAACTTTTTTCCAAACTAATTTTAAGTAACAGTTTTCGTAACACAGAATGAAATAGAAACAAATTTTTGAAAGAGGAAACATGAATTCTATTGATTAATCATAAAAATAACCGTTTTAAGTGAAATTATGAATAGTGATTCACTAATTTATTTATTTTATCTTCATTTCTTTTCTTATAGAGGTTTTGGATTTATTACATTTTCTGATCCAGTATGTGTGGAAAAAGTCCTTGAAACAGCTCCACATATTTTGGACTATAAAAAGGTATTCTTTAACGTTTCTGATCAGATTTTTTTGTCATTATAATAATTTGAGTGAGATAAATTATTATAACGCTTTATGTTGTTCATTCTTAAGACAATGAATTTGTAAACGGTTTCAGTCACTTGAAGACCAGATGTAAATATTGCAGCATAGTATACCAGTTTCCATCCATCTTAAATTAGCATAAAATTTATGTACAGTAGACATCATTTTCATCAAACCACAGGTAATTGAGTATTATGTTGATCATAACTGACTGAAATAAATAGATCCACGTTAACTTACGAGTTAGTTTTCTATGGGATGGGGACGCTAACCCCATGCCCAACCCTCCTCCTTTATCCGGGCTTGGGACCGGCAGTAGCCCCCGGAGGGACTCCAGGCGGAGACAACTGTATGACACGACAAAGAAACTCTCTGGAAATCGCCGCAAACCAGAACGACCAGTGGAAAGCAAGGAAGGCGAGGTAATCACCAACATTGAAGAGCAACAAAACAGGTGGGTAGAACACTTCAAAGAACTCTTGAATCGACCAGCTCCACTGAACCCACCCAACATCGAAGCAGCACCCACGGACCTCCCAATCAATGTTGGCTCACCAACAATTGAAGAAATCAGCATGGCCATCAGACAAATCAAGAGTGGAAAAGCAGCAAGACCGGACAACATCCCAGCAGAGGCACTAAAAGCAGACGTAGCGGCAACTGCAAGGATACTCCACATTCTCTTCAATAAGATTTGGGATGAGGAACAAGTACCAAAGACTGGAAAGAAGGACTTCTGATCAAAATACCGAAGAAAGGCGATCTCAGCAAGTGTGATAACTACAGGGGCATCACTCTTCTCTCAATACCGGGAAAAGTCTTCAACAGGGTATTGTTAAACAGGATGAAGGACTGCGTAGACGCCCAACTTCGTGACCAACAGCCAGGATTCCGTAAGGATAGATCGTGTACAGACCAAATCGCAACTCTACGGATCATTGTGGAACAATCAATTGAATGGAATTCATCACTCTACATCAACTTCATTGACTACGAAAAGGCATTTGATAGCGTGGACAGAACAACACTATGGAAACTTCTTCGACACTACGGCGTGCCTCAGAAGATAGTCAATATCATACAGAACTCATATGATGGATTACACTGCAAAATCGTGCATGGAGGACAGTTGACAAAGTCGTTCGAAGTGAAGACCGTTGTCAGGCAAGGTTGCTTACTCTCACCTTTTCTCTTTCTCCTGGTGATCGACTGGATCATGAAGACGTCAACGTCTGAAGGGAAGAACGGGATACAATGGACATCTAAGATGCAGTTGGACGATCTAGACTTCGCAGATGATCTGGCCCTTCTATCCCAAACGCAACAACAGATGCAGGAGAAGACGAACAGTGTGGCAGCAGCCTCAGCAGCAGTAGGCTTTAATATACACAAAAGGAAAAGCAAGATTCTCCGATACAACACAGCATGCACCAATCCAATCACAATTGACGGAGAAGATTTGGAAGATGTAAAAACCTTTACATATCTGGGCAGCATCATTGATGAACACGGTGGATCTGATGCAGATGTGAAGGCGCGGATCGGCAAAGCAAGAGCAGCATATTTACAACTGAAAAACATCTGGAACTCAAAACAACTGTCAATCAACACCAAGGTCAGGATTTTCAATACAAATGTCAAGACAGTTCTACTGTATGTGGTGGAAACCTGGAGAACTACGAAAGCCATCATCCAGATGATACAAGTGTTTATTAACAGTTGTCTACGCGAAATACTTCGGATCCGTTGGCCGGACACTATTAGCAACACCCTACTGTGGGAGAAAACAAACCAGATCCCAGTGGAGGAAGAAATCAGGAAGAAGCGCTGGAAGTGGATAGGACACACATTGAGGAAAGCACCAAATTGCGTCACAAGACAAGCCCTCACATGGAATCCTGAAGACCAAAGGAAAAGAGGAAGACCAAAGAACACATTACGCCGAGAAATGGAAATAGACATGAGAAAAATGAACAATAATTGGAGGGAACTAGAAAAGAAGGCCCAGGACAGAGTGGGTTGTAGAATGCTGGTCGGCGGCCTATGCTCCATTGGGAGTAACAGGCGTAAGTAAGTAAGTAAGTAAAGTGCGTTAACTTACGTTAACTTGCTCGCGATATCTTGTTGTGAACTACATACTCTAATCACCGTAAATATTATCATAAATATTTGCATGACGTGTTTAATGATGGTTGTTTGACAAACTGAATAAAGTCAGGTGCTCTTGTTTGATAAATAATATTCTCCATAGTTCAATAGATAAACAGTTACCATTGACGAGATTCCTGATATTAAATTGTAAGTATTAGTAATCTTGGAACATTTGTAACCAGTTATTCAATGCTTTTTGATTTGAAAGCCTTTCACATGATTCTCTTTCTAATTTATACTATCTTTAGGTTAGATATATGTCTTATGAGTCAATTATGTCATAAGTTTGTAGTAAACTTTCTACTACATTTCCAGAAATCCTAATATACTACTTTATTATTGTTATAGCCACATTTTATAAGTGTCTATGTTGAAAAAATGTTTCTAAATAAACTTTATACATAAATTAATTAACTGAGTAGTATTTGAATACGTTGGGATTAAAGATGATGTGATCGAATGTAACATTGTTATTCACAAACCTCCCAATCATAGAGACTGTGGAATATATAGGTGAACAATTGATTTATTAAAATGAAATTGAAACTATTGTTCCCATTAATGTCGTGAAAGAGTTATTACTCAAATGCACCATGAAGTTCAAGTACTAGTCTTTCAATATGATAGGGATCTTTAAACAATTAATTAATTGTTCATAGAAAGTCTAAGCAAATATCAAATATTATTGAATTGATCCAAGCAGCTAATTAACTTGCATAATTCATATTTTCTCCTTGTCTTTTAAAGTTTCTCTTCAATAAATATAATATCTGACTAATGGTTTATTCTCCTTTTAAACATAGTTAATTAAGAATTATTATTATTCAATGCACTATGTATATCATAAATTTTCTATATAATAAACTATCCAAACCATAAACTATGAAAAATATTTTTATTACTAAACTATTTAATTGTATTTTTTTTACATTTATTTTTGATTAATTTCTGTTTGTTGCTAAGGTAAAAAAAAAACGTAATTTGTTTATAATTTTAAATAAATAAGTCTATACTCTATGGATAACTGTAAAATGGTATTACATTTCTGTCATATTAAGATGTATTATAGAATTATATTCATATATATATTGACAAAATATGTGAATATTATAAACAAACAGAGTAGATTTTAGTTAAGTTACACTTTTTTTCTTGTTATGATTTAGACATAAGTATAAGATTTTGTATTTAGGTATTCATACATAAATATTGATTATATAAGAGATTACTTCCTTGTTCATTATATTTTTCTTTTAAATTCTTTTATTCCAATTACTTTAATTATTTTAGTCAACATGATACTCAGTCAGTCAGGCAGTGACAATGTAGAACTTCGTACGTACGTACATCAGTTCGAGTTGCCACACCACATTAGCACAGAGATGCAGCTGTCGATTCAAATCCCGTAGTGGTAGAGATAGTAAAAGTATATGCAATAATCGGAAAGATTAAGGATTGAAGATGTTATTCAAGGAATATAATCCAGTGAAATAAAATTAGAAAGAGATAAAAAGGGGACATGATGAATTCAAAAGATTAGAATTTGGGAGAAACAAAGAGTGGATGCACCTGAGCCATTACAAACGATTATGAGCAATGTCATTCAAGGTCTCTAACCATCGGTTGCTATCATCTCGCGGTCCCCAACCAGGTAGTCTGCACCCACCAACATGGCTCAGTCCACTTGTCAGTGACTTCATGGATTTATGTCATGTTTCGGTCTGGCCACCCCTAGCTTTCTTCCAACCTACTCCTACGTTATAAAACACTGCACTTCGAGGCAGTCGGTGGTTGAGCATACGTAACACGTGTCCCAGCCATCTCAACTGATGAAGTTTCATTACTTCATGATACTGCTAAATACTATTGTAACATATTTATGGTTAAATTCTGGAATGTGAAAAAAGTATATATATATATATATATATATATATATATATATATATATATATATATATATATATCAAGTAATGACTAAACAGGTCTCATTAAAAAATACTATGTTGATAAATGAAGTGTAGAGTTTATATGGTTCAAAGGAATATGGACTAAGGTTTATTACTAGTCGGGTTTCGTGAGAATAGTATCTTCTGTCCTAAACTAACTAACACTCTTTATATCACTTAAGATGGCTTCTCTTAGTATTGTGGTTAATAATATTACCAGTGAGATATTTAGACAGCCTATAAACTCTTGAAGGATTGTAATATATACATTACGTAAAATGGTATACAATCGTGATTTATTTTCATTCATTTAAATATTTTTGAATTATTATCTGAAATTTTAGATTGATCCAAAACTTGCTGTTCCTCGTAAATCTGGTCAAAATACAAAAGTGAGTTAAAATTTCTATATTAAATATTAATTATTAGTATAATTTTAGTTTTAAGCTGCTTGCCTTTCGAGTATTTGTATATTTTTTGGTTGAGATCATGAACTGATTGATGTTAGACTACCATGGACAACCTGGGAGCACTGGACGACTGTTTCGTCCTATTGTGGGACTCCTTGAGAGTGCACATCCACGACCTCGCTCGTGGGATTCGAACCCAGGACCAATCAGTCTCTCACGCGAACAGCTCATGATCTCAACCAAAAAGTTAATGGTTTCCACAATCCTATGCTGGTAATTATAATGTGCTCACTGGTGACTAGCTTTGTGAGGGTGTTCTCGGAGTTCTAGTGAGAAGTCGTCACCAGTGGAGCTAATCCGTTTCGAGTAGAGACAGGTATTTACCTCAGTACAATGGGAAATAGTTGCGAGATTTCGCGGATTGTTTGATGTTAGACACTAACACCATTGGATGCCGACTCAGTGGTCCAGTAGGTTAAGCGTTCGCGTGTGAGACTGAAAGCCCTGGGTTCGAATCCCACGAGTGGGACCGTGAACACGCACTGCTGAGGAGTCCCACAATAGGACGAAACGACTGTCCAGTGTTCACATGTTTTCAATGGTGGTCTAACATCAATCGGTTCATGATCTCAATCAAAAAATTAATAATCTCCACAACCACTATACTGATATTTGTATATTATTTATTACTGGTTTTTTCATTAGCTTATACTTACTTTCATATGCATATGATTTTATATTTGACAATAAATAAAAACTTATCATTACAATATTTAATGATTGTTTATTGTTTATTTTTACTGGAAAACTATAGAATAAGCTTAATACGATACATATTCGTATACTAAGTGATAGTAGACAACCAAATTATTACCTTATTATCATTATTCAAATAGAATTGTGTATCTGTTTATTTATTTAATTTGTATATCCTTTAAGTGATAGATAATTTATGTGTACTAAATCATCATTTATTTGTCAAAAGGTAAACTATAAAAGAAGTGCTGTTTTGTTTTTTCTTTACTTTTAATATTAGAACAATATAAATGGGAAAAAATTAACTCTGTTTTTATGATTAGTCAAACTTAAACTAGATAATTACTTTTAAAAAACAAAATACAAAACAGTAATTGTCATTCACTTAATGTTACTTATTTATTCTTATCAGATTTCATCTGAGTCTTGAAATTATTCTGAAGTACTAAATTAACCTATGAATAAATCATGTGTAAATTGTATAGGAGTTCTGTCTATCTTATACTTATATTCTTAAATACTTGTACATATATTTGCACTGAAAAATAAATGATAAAGGTTATCTATCTAATCGAGATCATGAATGGATCAGTGTTAGACAACTATTGAAAACCTAGAAGCATTGGACGACTGTTTTGTTCTAGTATAGGACTCCCTAGCATTGGGCATCCACAATCTCTCACGCACAATTCGAACCCAATACGTTTGGTCTTGCACACAAACATCTAACCTATGGACCACTGAGCTAATATCCAACAATGTTAATGTTTAACTTCAATCAATCCATAATATTGCGTGATCGTCTTCTTGGGTTTGAATCCCGCGCGTGGGATCGTGGATGCGCATTGCTGACGAGTCCTACACTAAGATGAAACGGCCGTCCAGTGTTTTCAAGTTTTCAGTGATTTCCTAATATTGATTGATTCATGATCTTAATAAAAACTTAACAATCTCTACAACCATATACTGTTAATTATCTATTTAAGTCAAATTATATCGTGAAAAGTCTAACCACATGTTCTTTATTGATAGCAATTGAAAGTCTAGACTGTTTGTTCAATATTCATCAGCATTAACGAAGTAATTTATGATAAAACTATGTACCTCATAAATTGCTTAACTGTTACTTGTTCCCTTCTCACTTAATATAGAAAGAAGTAAATCTTTATTTGAACAATACTTTTTTCCAATATACGAATACCTTTAGTTTCATGTTATAAAAAACAGTTTTTTTCTTATCACAAGTTAAAAATATGATTTCTACCAGTTATTAAATTCTAACAATGAACATTACAATAAGGAGGTTTTTAGTTTTAGGAAATTTTTCGTTACACTTAACTATTCTATCTAGAACATAATTTTAGTGTTAAGTGAATTGATTTAACTACAGTCCAGTGAATTTCTTCGTTCTCATTACGAGTTTAACTTGAATATTTGTCAACCAAAATTCCATGATATCCTATTACCAGGATTAATTACTGCTTCAGAAAATTATTAAATACTGTGCAGTAATTTACAGGCATGACCATTCACTTCAAACGCCAACAATAAAGTACTGAGCGGTCACACAGCAATTCGATCATAGGATTTGCCTACCACTGAGATTTACGCACAACATTAGTTGCTACCAAGTTATTAGTGTAATTGCTTTTGGTAATAGAATCATCTTCCGATCCAATGGTAATTGTAACATTGATTCAATGAATATCATTTTAACATTGGAAATGAATTGTTGTTTTGAGTCTGATATTATTTTTATACAAACACAAGAATGACATTCGCGACATTTCCTGTAAATAACTTTAGCTGGAAAAAACCAAGTAAATTTTGTAAGTCTGTACAGAGATTTCGTCAAACACGAACTCATCAGGACTTCCGAGACAAGTGATGTGGTTGATGCGATTAACTACTTTACTACTTACCATTATTTTAATAGTTGACTCAGTCCAGTATTTCAGTAAGAGGAAACGTACCTCAAAAATGTTTGCTTTGTTCCTCAAAGGGATCAGAAAGCTCTGCATCTTTCCAGCACTCACCAAACCGAACTAAATCATCTGGGTATTCTTTGTTAATAAACATACATCGTGACAAGAGACTAATTCTTAGAAAGTTAACTGACGAGATCTTTAATAGTTGGGGCAATAGATCGTTATGTGAAATCCTGACTCTATTTCCGTATAGTTTTAATCAAACTATATGGAACGTATTGGGGATAGAACAGTTTTTACGTAAAGAATCACTCAACATTACAATATAAATGATGTTCGAAATGTTAACCTTCAAAATCTAATTCTATAGTTGAATTTGTAAATTATCACACTTATATTTGATGATAATTGTTCCTGCTTATTGTTTCGAAGGTACTTAATTTACTAAACTAGTTATTTCCCAACAAATTCACGTAAATACATGTTTTTTTTCATACTGACATATTTTACCGATCACTAATTCGTTACTTATACTAATTATTGACTATTATGTAAATGCTATCTAACTATAACATTCACTTAGTTCTAATAAATATGTTGTGAAATTCACCTGTGGATAACCTAATTTTACGTTCTGATGTATTTTACATTATGCACAAACTACCATAAAATAAATGAATTACCGTGGGTAAATTGAAATGTTACTTAAAAAAGAGTTCAAAAAGATAATTTAATTAAATTTTCAGAAAAGGAATTATATAATTACACTGTATGCCGTAGTGCACCTGATAGCAGAAACAATAAATTAAGTAACTGTATAGAGAATAGAGATTTAATAACCGAAACACTCAACTACGAATCATAAGGTTACGTATTCAAACCATATACTAACTACTTGAGTTTGAATGGTCACACTAAACTTCAGACAAACGCTAAGTTTCTGAACCGAGACCAAAATGCGTTACACGAATCGTTCACAAATATCAGTATATGATACTCGCCTTCAAAACTCTAAACTTGACCTATATTGTATTTAGAAATTAATGTTTTCGTGTTAATTCGATAGGCTTCAATTTAAAGTCTTACTGTGAACTAATGCCAGCTAGAGAATCAGCCAACACCAGAGATCATGAGATATTTGATTCATCCTAATTTAATAATCCAACATTGAAAATGTATGAGGGTGGAGATGCTGACAGAAACATAATTATCAGAAGGGGCTTCGTGGAGATTTTGTAGTTGAATTCATTAGTCATTTGAAGCTAGAACACCATGGAAAACCTGAAAGCACTGGATGACTGTTTCATCTTAGTATGGAACTCCTCAACAGTGCGTATCCACGATCTCACCCCGCGAGATTTGAACCCAGAACTTATCAGTTTTGCACGCGAACGCTTAACCTAACATAATTCATTGTTCTTCCTTTAATATTCTCTTATTATATATATATATATATATTATTATATATATATATATATATATATATATATAAACCGTCTCATAAAAAGACTAGAATGCAACCTATCTGGATAGTTACAATGAACATTAACGTAGTAATAATAATATAATCTGATTACAATCGGAATAATATTAGTTTTTAACTAATCTTCATATCTTCTCAAATTTATATTGGTAATCTATTGTCATTTCATAATTTCATGTTTAGACAATTACAATGTATACAGGATGATACTCTTTAAATTTATTCAAATTACATAACCCCATCTATCACTCAAATATTTACATGTTGTATTTATGCTCAATTGAAACAAACATCCAATCATCTTTCATTTAGAAAAAAGAAGTAAAGAATAACAATGAATAAGTAGTTTGAATCTATTTTATAAATCTGAACCCCACCACCACCACCAACAACAACAAAAAAACTCATCAAATATTTTTATGATTCAAATCATCATTATTATTTGTTTAAGTTAATTTAGCACGAATCAAAAAGTCATTCTCTCGTCAATATTTTTTTTCTTATGATAATTAATTTTGACATATCAATTGAATAAACTATTAATTACTATGGTAACTTGGTGACCCTAGATAAACAATCTGTAATAAATTAGTTATTAACTCACACTTTATAATGGTGAAACGTTTGCTGTGTTTGTTTTTTTCTTTGTTTCGTTTTTTTTCTTTTCATTTCGATTGACATTTCTGTTTTTATCTAAAGTTTTATGATAAGTTCAATCATTTCATTCATTGGTTAAATTGGTGATTGTCGTAGAAGTAAGAAATTTTTTTTATTTATAAAAGAAACAATATCAATGTTTTGTCTAGCTATATGTGAGATGTTGTTTTGTTTTGTTTTTAAGAAGAAAATATAAAATAATGTGACTAAAGAAATCCCAGTTTATGATGGACAGACAAAACAGATAATGGTGGAATATAAAGACAAATAAATATTGTCAATGAATGAAATGGCGCCATTTGTTAGTGTTTTAAGACGTAATTCATTCGAAAAAGAATGACTATATTGTATTCAAAATGAAAAAGAAATTCTTCAAATATTATTTAGAAAAGAATAGATAAACGAGTAATATTCACTGAGGAACACAACGTTCACAATTGAAAACTTCATGTAAAATATTTGAGTAGTTGAAATAGAAATAAAGAAGTGGAATTGTATTTTTTTTAATGTTGTTTTACTCAGTTGTTTTAAGCTATAATTGATCGAATCATCTAACTTTGTTTAACGATGCTCCTAGTGGTTCATAGTTTTATTCTCGTAAATGCTTAACAGTATGGATATGGAAGTTAGTTATTTAAACTCTAAATAATTGAGTCTTAGGTGATCTGTATAAAATAGACTGTAAAATAAACATTAATTAATCATATACAATGAACTGTGAGAAGCCACTAGGCTCTATATCTTTCAGACATCAGAAGTTCTAGAGGTATCAACTAAAAGAAACAGGTTTTTGACTAACAATTATCCGAATATAAAGTTATGTCACGTATCTATTTGTTTTCATAATTTCACCATGTAAAATTTAATAATGTTTATTCCTGAACACTTGAACTATGAATTTGCCACTAATCCCATTTTTTGTTTACGAATTCCTTATATCAGAACTTTTTTTTGAATTACGTAATTTATAATCGAATATTATTCTTAATGTATATGATTACCCTTATTGATCTTATTTATTGATTTCATAATATCACTTGACATTCATTGAAAAACTAAAACAAAAAAATAAACAAACTATATTTCACACTATTCATATTAACATTTGCCAATATTGACATATTAACGTCATTTATCCGATTACAATTACATTTAGCATTCAAAGAGTTTTAAGCATTTTACATTATTCATACTTAGTTGATAGTAACCGGAACATATAATTACGTAATGATACAATCAGTAGTTCGTTACTTTTTTAAAAAAATTATTTATACCTTAAGTAAAGTTTTAGTATTATATAAGTTATTCTGCCGAAATATTTATAATACTTTGAAAAAACATTGTTCATTAAATCTATAGTTACACTTCATTGTAACAGTACTGTGACATTTACAAATAGATTAACAACTAAACTATTTCTAGCAATTTAAACGATAAATCTTGTCAGTTGTGTACAACATATTCATAATATATATATGACCCAGTATTCTATTTTCAATATATCCTCCCCCCCCATCAGCTAGTTTATATTTATGTATGTTGACAAAGTAACTATTTCCACTAAAATTTTTAATTAGAAGGATTTATTGGAAGAGATGTGTTTACTAGATATTATGCTTAGAAATTGATTGAATGTATTCCAGTTTAAGTAAACAAAAAGACGTGAACAAAGACATATTGTTATCATGAAACTTTTAAATTCATGATTTGTATGTAAAAAAAGTAAAAGAAAAAAAAGAAACGTGTATTTATTTTGAACTTAGTTATTCCATTTAATCAGAATCACTTAGAGAAATATAATAACTTGGTGATTCTTCACTCATAAACTGAAAGTTGTGTAAAGTGAACTTTGATGAATTGTAGTGATTTGAAAGTGAATTCAGAGATAATAAAGACAAAAAAAAACCGAAGGAAATCTTGAAATAAATGATAATTTGCTATTGATGGAGTTTTGTTTTCTGAGCTGGATGGTTTGGTTGTGGAGCTTTCGTCGTTCTTCTGAACGATAGCATCAGCACAAATTTCAGATAGATAATTTACTAATACATCTTTGGACATATTATTTTGATTTCTAATATTCTTAGTGAATTTTTTTCATTATGTCTTTATTGATGTATCTGTCTCAACGCTCACTATGATATATATGGGTATTTAAACAAAAACAAATGGTAATAGAATAGATTCTATTAGTTTTGTTACTCAGGTTAATATTGCATATTAAACAGTTCAATTTTATTAAGTTTTCATTCCCTTTTGTTTTCTCTGGTATCATTTCTTTCTTGTTATAAGTAGTGAATATTGTTGTAATTTAAGCCTAGACTTTGATATCTCTTAATTTATATCATGGTCAAAATTATTCTACTAAGTCTGTTACTCCTCGTGGTAGAATAGGCGGCCAACCAGGATTTTCCAACTGAACCTGTCCTGTCTCTTCATTCCATTTATTCCTAAGTGCTATTCATTCTCTTCATATCTGCTTCTTCGGCCTTCCTCTTTTCGTTTTTTCCTCATGATTTCGAGTTAGGGCTTGCCTTGTGATGCAGTTTGTTGATTTCCGTAATGTATATCCTATCGACTTCCAACGTCTTTTCCTAATTTCCTCATCAGCTCAAAGCTAGTTTGTTTGCTGATAGTATTTAACAAACGGACATTCAGTATCTTGCGTAGACAAATGTTTAAAAATGCTTGTACCTAATTGGTTGTAGGAGTTCTTTACGTTTCAGCTCCATATAGTAGAAGTGTCTTGACGTTCGTATTGAACATTCTGACTTTGATATTGGTTGACAGACAGTTGTTTTGAGTTCCTTGTGTTCTTCAATTGTAGGAATGCGACCCTCCCTTTGTCAATCCTTACTTTTACGCCTGCATTGGATCCTCCTTGTTCACCGACGATGCTGTCCAGGTACGTGAAAGATTCCACCTCTCCATCAAGTGTGATTGGGTTGGTGTTTTCTGTGTTGTATTTGAGGATCTTACTTTTTCCCTTATGTATATTGAGATCAACTGATGCAGTTACCGCTGCCACACTGTTTGTTTTGACCTGAATTTGTTGGTGTGAATGGGTTAGAAGAGCTAGGTTATCTGCGAAGTTCAAACCTTTCGGTTCCTCCCAAGCTGTTCACTGTATTCTGTGCTTATGTCGTGTGTGCTACTTATCTCTGTCAACGTAAGTAGTATGTAACCAAAAGTTGAGTGGCTGACAGCAGAAGGCTAAGTAGATAGGATTCAAGTAAACAGAAAGAGAAATAGAAAGAAACTATGAACTGGAAGGATCAGACAGAATGTAAAAGACAGTTGGTGGAAGATTTGTAAATGAAGTATTTAATGTATGGTTCTCATATTTTATGAAGATATTTTGTAATTTTGTATTATATAATAAATTGTTTGTCCCCCACCTGAGTGTTCGTTCACTAAGCTTATCCTGAGTTTGGTCTTCATAATCCAGTCAACCACCAGAAGCGAAGTGCTAAAAGTAAACAACCTTATCTGACACCGACCTTCACTTAAAATGCGTCTGTCAGCTGTCCTCCATGCACGAATTTGGAATGTAGTCCGTCACATGAATTACGGAGGATGTTGACGGTCTTCTCAAGTACACCATAGTTTCGAAGAATGTTCCATAAGCCATTCTATCCACACTGTCAAACTCTATCTCATAGTCGACATATAGTGACGATTACCATCCAAATGACTGCTCAACAATTATGCATAGTGTCACGATTTGGTCTGTGCACGACTGATCCTTACAGAATCCGGCTTGTCGATCTCGAAGTTGAGCGTCTAGTAAGTCTTTTGTCTGGTTCAGTCGCACCCTTCCACTCTACTACTCTCGATTCTTCTGATGGCCATTCTGATGTCTTCGATCGTTCGTGGAGTGACATCTGTAGGAAGTCTGTATGAGCTGCTTCCATGTCCGATGGGTTCAGTGAAGCTGGTCTATTCAAGAGTTCTTCAAAGTTTTCTTCCGACTTGTTGTTTGCTCTTGAATCTCGGGGATTGGTTTGTCTTCTTGTTCTTGACTGGTCTCTCTGGTTCAATATATTTCCCTGTCAGTTTCTTCGTTCTGGCTTAATATAATTTCCAGCTAGTTCTTCGTTGTATTATGTATTTGTCTCGTAGTTCCTTCTCTTCATTGCTAGTTATTCCACATATTTCTGCTTACCTTCTCTAATACTTCTTTTCACTCTCTTGTTTGCTTCTGTGTATTTGGCGTGTGTCTTGGCTTTCTCTGCTCCTGTTCGACTGTTGTTATTTGCTGCCTTCTCGTTCTTTTCTTTCCTAAACCCTCTCCAGGGTTTAGACTGAGATCCATTTCTTATAATGATGGTGCTTGCGCCCAACACGTCGTTCCAGCAGCTTCTATTTATGTGAGTAGATTTTATGAGGTTGTTGCTGAGAGTTATCTTGAATTCGTTGAATTTATCAGGATCTCGAAGTCTGCATTTGACCTTTGTGGTGCTGCTTCTACAGTTTTTCAGTGGTCCTTTAGCATCAGTTTCATCTTGACAACAACTAGGTAGTGATCTAAAGTTATGTCAGCTCCTCTCATGGTTCTCACGTCTTCCACTGACCTTGTGAATTTTTTATTGATACAAATATAATTTATCTGGTTCTCCGTGGTGTGGTCCTCTGAGACCCATGTAGCCTTGTGTATGCGTTTATGTGGGAATATTGTTCAGCCTATTACCGATTTGCTGAATGTACATAAATTTGAAAATCTTTCACCATTCACATTCCTTTCTCCTAATCAGTCCATGTCGTCCCGTGATATCTTTGTATTCGGTGTTGTCCATTCCGACGTTGGGGCTCAGGTCTTCCATCATGATGGTCAGGTCGTTTCCTGGGCATTTCTCTACGACACATTGCAGCCCCTCATGAAACTAATCTTTATCGTCGTCGTTGCTACCACTGGTGCGTGTATAACACTAGATAACATCTATTGTAATCCACTGCTTCTTTGTTTCAAAGAATGCCTTGATGATTCTGAGTCCATGAGATTTCCATCGTATAAGTGCTTTTCATACTTCTTTAAACTTATACCAACATCTCTTATACATCATATTATTCAAACGCTTCGTCTTGTAAGAATGATTCATTCGAGTGAGTCAATAAAGAGAATTTTGGACTAAATAAGCTTTTATCTTATCGTAAAGCAGAAAATTAACGATTTTGAAATATTCAGAGAAATCTCAAACTCCCAATGAGGACACGTCTTCATTATTGCTTTGTATAGAACTTCAAAAGTTTTAATAGTATAATAAATCCTGAACAAGGTCAAGTAAGGTAGTATCAATGAGGTTTAACTTAATAATTAGTCCTTTGTCAATAACAGGACAGTCTAAGTCTTACATCTAACAAGTTTCATGTAACTTTTGTTAACAGTGTCATAGTCCTTCAAAGTAATAGTCGTCCCTAGTTAAGGAATCTATATGAAATAAGTAAACCTTCAAACGGAAAGGTTCATCGCTTTTTCGAACTAAACTAAAAGTGTTAGGCACGTAGGCTATTAGTCCTGAAGGCATCTGATTATATGAGGATGGAGATTTGAAAGACGCCAAATGACTTGATGTAAATGCTCTATCACAAGTTGAAGTATTTGATCGGTCTACATTTTTTATCTGTCTTTCGTAGACTATTAATCTTTGTATTCATATTCACTCCGCGAACTATTTATTATTACTTTGATTATTCACTTAAAATTCATATTTAGCTTAAAGTTACCGGATGATAATAAGTACTGTAACCATTAATACACAGTCGTCATAAACTTTGGTAAATTATATTTCTTAATAATTATATTCATCAAGGTACAGGCATCTATAAATAACTTCATATTTGTCAGCCAATTTACTTAGTATCTGTATACAGTAGCTGATTGCATAACTTGCTTGCGTATGAAGTGATAAGTACCAGGGTCGAATCTCGGAATAAGTAATTCTATCTGACTAATGAATCCAGAATAGGGCGAAACTAGAGTCCCCAATTACACTGTATGTCCTAATCCGACTTTACTAAACCTTTAAATGTTTGAAATTCTTATTACATTACTTTTGGATAACAGCAGCCATGTCCCAAAAGTTGTGACTGAATTATTAATTTTAATTTAAATACTATATAACATAAAAGTACGCCTTTCGGTCAGACAAACACTGATTATTTCTCTATAGGATTTGCGTAAATTGTAACTCAATGGTCTAGAGAAAAACGGAAGTAGGGAATCAAGTGAAATGTATTGATGAGGAATGAAGAGCTGGATTATAATAAATTTACTAACAGAATTATTAGGGATTTAGCTTTCACTAGTTAAGCAAGTGAAAATGCTACATTTTATCTGTTCAGCTATACAAAATGTGCGGCCGTTAATAGATGACTGACAACTTTATTCATTTCACGTCGGTTGGAGTATTTTTGTGGTTTCAATGACTCATTGGATAAGCTTTGTACTGTTGCACTGGCTGGTATTTTATTACTTCAACAGGGACATAGAATTTTTAGAATTTTTAGAAGTGGTCTAGTGATAACCAAAAACTGATTGAAACAGATGCCCATTCAAAACAATTTAATAAAGTTTGCCAGTTCAAGACCCTTAGTGTATAGCAACAGAAGAGTAGAATACTATTAGAATCGGGTAAACATTGAAGCTAGCATGTAAATTGGTAAAAAAATGAATAAATAAATAATTAGTTATTCAGCATGCAAAATAAATAGAGCCAATACAATTGTTCAGTTAGAACCAATTTTTAAGTTATTCCATTTAAGTACAACGTGACTTGGGATCTTAAAGGATACAGAAGTTTCACTATAATGTTCTGCACGGAATGTACCAACTGTCATGGATATCATATGTCAGTTCCATTTCTTTATTCAGTCAAATATTAAGTTAGTGAAAAGGATTGATTAACATATGTTTCATCGCAGATCCATCACCTTACTAAATTACTTTTTTAACCTGAAAGTTTGACTCTTCAACATTGTTTTATTCTGAATCCTTCGAAAACGGATTCAAATTAAACAATCCTTGCTACAGATTTGTTTATGAATTTATTATTCTACAGTTAAATGGATTGATTTTGCATTATGTGCTAGGGATTGTTTAATTTTATCATCAGTATGTCAGTCAGTCAGCTACAATGTAGGACCAGGTACCTATATACATCGCTACAAGTGGCCACACCTCATTAGCACAACAAGAAGAAAATGGAATTCATAGACGTAGTTAATTCAATGGTAGTAGTATATATAAGAAAGATTGTGTAAGGGTATTATACAGGAAGAGAGAATTAGTTCGTAGAAAGAAAGGTATAAAGCAATTTTAATATCACAGTTTAAGGGAAGACAAATAGTGTATACATCTACACTAATGTGATCGATTTTGAGCCATGTCACCCAGTGTCTCCAACCATTGGTTACGTTAGTCACGTGGATGCCAACAAAGTAGTCTGTATCTACATCACTACGTAGTAAAATACGTTTTTTGCTCTAACATAAATTTTATTTGTAATTATAAACAAATATTGCTAAATGTTGAATATATTTATAAATATGAATATATATCTACAGATGTTCAGCCATATTTTACAGACCAACAATGTTCTTTACAAAAGTACTTTAATTTGAACAGCTGTGAATTCACAATATGCAGTTATTTATTTATTTTTTGTTGTTGAGATAATTCTAAAATAGCCAACTAACTAATCAGACAATTGTACAATTTACATTGTAAACGCTTATGTATAGAATTCATAATTTGCCTAGTAATTGAGTAATATCGTACAGCTTAACAAAAGTGTTTATAGCAATATATATGGGTTTCTTTTATTGATTCTTATAACAGAGAGAGAGAAAGAGAGAGAGAGAAAGGGAGATGGAGAGAGAAATAAACAACAGAGAGATCTTTTTGTG